GTGCCTGGCGTGTGTGGGATCTTCCTGGGCTTAATTTATTGGGGGTGGGGAGTGTGAGGGTGTGCGCATCAATTTGGGGGAAGGGAAAGGATGCTTTACTCTTCTTCAACGTTGCCAGCTCCTTTTTGGATATATATTTTACTTCCAGCCTTGATGGTGAAGGAATTTGAGGTCCACCGTGGATCTGCCCCAAACATTTAACGCGTGTGTGTGCGCACACGTCGGGGGGGGGAGATGGATATTGCAGGTGAGATGCCCTCCTCCTTTCCACAGTAACCAGATTTTAATGCTCAGGATAACACAATCTCTTCTAAGAGAAGACATTTTCTAATGGGTGGAAAGATGGGGGCAGGAATATTTACAAGCCGTTCTCACCCCCTTTTCTAGGAGGGGATTGGAGGGGGGGAAAGCTCCCCCCCCCAGTGCCACTTGTCTTTTTATATATTTGAACTGTATCGCTGCCTCTCCGTTTTCCTGACCACAACTTGTCAGGAGGACGGGGTTTCACAATAGTCACTGTGTCGGGAGAGAGATTGGGGTGGGGTGGGGGTGAGAACGGATCCTCTCCCCCTCCCACAAACATAGTTTAGGCACTCCCCCTTCTCAGGGTAATGATATAATTGGAGTAGCTGTCTTCCAAAATGTACGTGTATTGGGGGTGTGTGTGTCCTGTTCGGAACAATGGGGGCACAGGGGGCTACCAATGTTGAGAAAAGCGCCAGGGCGGGGAGGGTCACTTTAGATCCCCTTTCCCTGCCCCGGGACCCTCTGGACGTGTTTTTAGCCACCAATTCCATCCTCTTGAGCCTTGACTTTGGGAATTGGGAAGCTGTGGCTCTTTGATGGGGGAGGTCACTTTTCCTAAGATTTAACTCGGAGTTCCCAATGGGGTGGGACAAAAAAATACAGGGGTGTGTTGCTCCCCCCACCCCACCGAACTTCACATGCAATATAAATGCATTGTTTTTGTTGTCGCTTTTCAAGTGTTCCCCTTCTCCCTTCGCCTTCTGCGCGTTTTGCCTGTCGGTGGGTTTTCCCTCCCTCCTACGGTCTTCCAGGCATCTCCTCCTCTTTTCCCCCCTTTGTGCCGTCTGAAATGGCAGCCTCGTGGGTCACGCGCGTGGATCCACAGGGCTCTGCTTTCAGTTTGGAGCTGCCCGGGGAGGAGCAAGAGGCAGCCGGGGTGTCAGTTCCTCCTTCCACCCGAGAACAAACGGCTGCAAAACCTTGGCCTCTCAAGCTCTCCAAACTGAGATAATGTCTGGAGAGGGGTCCTCTTGGAGCACCTCGCCTTTTTAGTGTGGTTACTGAAATCTGCCCCTTGTTAAAACTATCCCAAGCACAGTCACTGGCAAGAACAGTAAATTGAGACTGCCCAGATTTCATTCAGAAGGTAGACTCTACTCCCAACCTGCTCTCCCTCCCTCCTATCCTTGAATCATACAAGGTCCTGTTAAGTCAGTTCTGATTTATGACAACCCTTTCCAGGGTTTTCTAGGTAGAGAGTACCTACTCAGAAGTAATTTACCCCTCCTTTGGGGAGCACCCTGGGATTGTGTGGCTTGCCCAAAGCCACCCAGGTTGGCTGTTCCCGAAGGATGCACAGTGGGGGAATTAAACTCTCCATCAATAGCACACACTACCAATTCTTTCTTCCAAACCTCTGAGCTACGATGATTCAGATGTGCCGCCTCTGGATTAATCAGGGGCTGGCTGTGAGAACGCCGGTGCTCCACCATGCCACACCAAATCTCCCACCCAGAATGGCTTACTTTTTCCAAGCAAGTTGAGATCATCCTGCCACTGGATGCGTGACTTCCAGACCAATTGTTACGCTTCTGATTATTCGAGCTAGTGGGAGGCAGACACTAAAAATGAAAGCAGAATTTGGAAAATATTTGAGAACATGAGATTGTTAGCTTAAAACGACTGGAGTTAAGTGGCTAATATGGGCATATAAATCTCCGTGACACCCCCCCCCAACCCAACTCTGCATTAAAAAAAAACCACTTTCTGCTGCCAGGTTCTGTTGTTGTCCAAACTGCACAGCATCCGCTGTGATGCACTAATTCCCTCAGTCCCTTTCCTGGTGGCTCCCAGTGCAATGTCCTCCTCTTGCTCAAGAGTAGAATGCCTTCCCCAGTTATGATTTGGCAGGGAGCAGATGTGGCTCCCGTTGGGACTCTTACTCCCATAATCCCCAGCCATCGTGGCTGGAGGGGGTTGGAGGAGTCATGACCCAACAACATACCTGGTCGGTGCCAAGTTACGGGGGGAGGGCAGGAGGTTGTGATAAGATTTTCCCCAAATCTTCTGCTGTTTCTCTTTGGATCTTGTCTTTGTTATTTATTGGGCCCGACTCAATGGCCTTTGCTGTAATTTATTAAACGTGATCTTTCTCTTTTGTAACACGTGGCTTGGTCTCTCCCAGGGCTGGGGTTTGATTAAGGTAACTGCTCCCCCAGGGTCACTTTACCATAAAGGGGCAATGCTTTTCTATGCTATCACGGCTACGGAGACAATCAGACAGGCCTAGCTCACTCTTTATCATAGCCAAGTGATAGGTAAAGTTCAAGGTTCCCCTTGACATTTATTCCAGTCATGTCTGACTCTAGGGCACGGTACTCATCCCCGTTTCCAAGCCATAGAAGCAGCGTTTGTCCGTAGACAGTTTCCATGGTCACGTGGCCAGCGCGACTAGACATGGAACACCATTACCTTCCCACTGTGGTGGTACCTATTTATCTACTCACATTTACATGCTTTCAAACTGCTAGGTTGGCGAGGAGCTGGGACAAGCGACGGGATCTCCCTCCGTCGCGTGGATTCGATCTTACGACTGCTGGTCTTCTGACCCTGCAGCACAGAGGCTTCTGCGGTTTAACCCGCAGCTCCACCACGTCCCTGGCATAGCCTAGTGAAGTAGTTCTCAAACATGACTGGGCCCAGAAATCCCCCATTGTAGGTCATGCTGGCTGGAAAGCCTAATTCAACAGCCGGAGCTCTAAGGCCAGAAACCACCACCACTATCAGTACATGACTATGGGAATATCAAAAAGGATGCCATGTTTTGATCCAGATAATGAGAGAAATCCAACACCCACAAGTGAGCAACGCCTTCATTAGGACTGAAGTGTAAGCACACAAAATACTGTATGCCAACTTTCAGGATCCACAAAATGCTTCCTCCAGCTTGACAGTAAAAAAAAAGGGGGGGAAATGGGGAAACTCAGGAAAATCCAAATACATGGCTAGGTGCTTAAATCCTTGTATTAGCATATGATACAGGCTAGGTATCTGGTTTTTCATGATGTTCCTCTATATGGTCGGCTGGAGAAGCAGCACAACTCATCCTAGGTGAGTCACTGCTGCCAGGCCTGACCTCAAGCGCCTTGCAATGCAAAATGGAGGCAGGCTGCCTTAACGGCAGGAACGCTGCACATAGGGACACAACTCCCTGAGCTGGCTCTGGCGCAGCTTGTGACATTTCCCTCCAGCTTCAACTAGTTCACTGCTAAAGCTCTTTGCTGCCATGCCCACCGCGCTTGCAGCAGCAACGGGGCTGGAGTCTTTGCAAAAGTCGCATCCATCCATGATGAAATTGATGCCGCTTCTGTGGTTGCAAAGCAGAGCTGCGTTCCCTGCAGCAGCCTTCCCAGGCTTTCAGGAGCCTTTTATCTCCACTTACAGACTACTGGCAGTAGCAGCAGCAGCTTTTTTTGGAGGGTGTCTCACAGAGAGCAGGAATAGGGAGGAAGTCCCAGTTACAATACTGGGAGAACTTGCAGGACTCTGCATGCATCTCTCCCTCGGTGAAATGGTGCTCCCTAATGGCAGACAGTGGGAATTGCACCACAGCACAGGAGACAATAATCAAGTGATTTTATAACAACCATCAGCTCTGCTAGCAATCCTTTCTAGGAGAAAAGGTGAAGATAAAAATCCTTCCATTTTTTTTAGAGGGCACACAGTAACATGCCTCCAGGGATACATGGGCCACCTGCACATGATGCTCCTGCAACAGTGCTATGATAGCAGGACCGCTGGGCCACTTTCCAAGTGGCAAGAGGACCTCCAAACGCTGTAGGTTTTTTCACTTGCAGCATCTTAAAAAGGACGTGAAAGGCACATCATGAAATCTAAAAATACCTATTATGGCTATGCTCCCCCTCTATAGCAGGTCAGTTTCAAATAGCTCACACAGAACGGCTGAGAGTGTTTATAAAGTTGTAACTCAAAACATCTTGTGGGCCACAGGCCATTCCACCAAACGTCTAGATGCACTTCTCCCGTTTCTCCACGCAACATTCACTCCAACGGCCTGATGCTGCACGCCTACCTCTCTTCCTCAGGTGCAAATGCCTCTAAAACAGGCAGGGTCGACAGGTGGTGCTAAGCCCTTGCCGGTCCAAGGCACTACTTGGCACTTCTGCTCCAATTCCGATCCTCAGAATTCTAGTGGAGAACCTCCCAACCGGAAGTCTGGCCATCCCTGTCAAGAGATGGATCGTACAGTACAGGGGCTTTCCCTGGAGGACGACCCCAGGTCTGCCCAAGCCCTTGGCAAGCTGCTATCAGTCAGCGCAGCAGCGCGGACAAGGCGGGGAGAACCTCTGTCCTCTTCAGATCTGCAATGTCTCAACAGAAGCCTCGATGCCGGGGGTGGGGGGAGAGTTAGGCTTGGGTCCATCATACAGAAACCTGGCAGCCGAGTGTGCACGTTGAAAGAGCAGAACTGAGCAATGGACAGAACTTGCAAACCGTGAGTTTTCCAAGGAAGCCGAGGCCCACAAGGAGACCCGAGATCAGAGGCTCGTGATCGCTGAGCTATGCGCCCAAGACGTTTTGACTCCTTTTTAGCTAGTCAGTTTGGGTGTGAGAGAGGAGGATGTGGGCTGAGGCCCAGAATTTACCAAAAAAAATAATATCTCAGAGGCAGCGTGTATCACAAAAATAATTTATTGCCATTTCTTATAATGCATCGTCCCTTTGTAGAATTTGCCTGGTGATTACTCCATTTCCCACCCACCCCTTTCTCAGCTTGGAGGTCTCTGAAAACCACAGGCGGGCACAAAGCCCAGCACCCTACCAAGGCTGTTCCTGTGTGGTGTTTTTTTAGAGCAGCGTTGCAAAAGCAGCCTTGCCGCAGGAGGAGACAGAAGAATTTATTATTATTATTTTTGCTGTTCCGCTGGTGGTGCAGATACTGATGATGACAAAAGAGCCTTCAAAGCTGTTCCAAGCAGAGAGTCCTCTGGCTCCGTAGCTTCTTTCTCTGTGATCTTCAAGGAGCGAGGGAAGGGCGTTGGTGACAGCTTGAAATATTCTCCCCGAATCTCGGTAAAAATAAACATTTGCCCCTAAAGAAAGGGAGAATTTAGCACCAGTGGCTACTCACCCTTGTTTGTCTAGGCTGGCGCTCCCAATCCTTTCATCCATCATTTCCCCTTTCCCTGCGGCCACTGCAGGAGGCGGCTGGCAAGCACAGAACAGGCAAAACGATGAACAGGGGGGAAAAGCCGCAGTTAGTCCCTTCCGCGCTTTGGATGACAAACCAACGGAAGAACTCGTCAGTCTCTTGAGGGGGCATCTAAACAGGCGAAGGACTGAACCCAAGTTAGAACTGAACATTTCCGCGCTTTGGATGACAAACCAATGGAAGAAATTGTCAGTCTCTGGAAGGGGGCATCTAAACAGGTGAAGGACTGAACCCAAGTTAGAACTGAACACGGTAATCCTTCTCCATCCAGCTGCAAACCACTGCAGGTCTGGGGTGGCTAATTCTCTCTCACAGACCACACTGTCAATCTTTCCCAGCCTGGTGCCTCCCTTCAGCTTGGCTAGACTACAGCACCCATGGTCCCCAAGCCAACGTGGCCACTGGGTGGAGAGTGAAAACGTGGGAAGAGGGAAGCAGGTTGAAACGAGGCTGCCCCACAGTGGTGGTGGTGGTGGTGGGGTAAAGGGTGAACAGCCAGCCTTTCACTTCCTTGGGGCTTGCATGGAAGACTGGCCCCGACTCTCCCAGACTTCACGGATGGTGCGGCGGACCTCCCGGGGCAGATGGAGGGTCTCGGCGTGGCACTGGAGAATGTGCTGCTTGACCGTGGCCAGGCCGACCTGCCTGAGTGGGGACTCGCAGACCATACACATCAAGTGGCCGGTAGTGGCGTCAAAGTCCATAAGGAAGCGGGCTCTCCAGGCGGGGTTGAACCCCTTGGCCAGAAGGGGGGCATCTTCCTTGCCCGCCTTCACCACCCGCCGGCTTGATCTGGCACCACAGTCTTTGGCATTGCTCCTGGCAGAGTTGCCAAGGGGGCACGAGGCGACATCCTGGCTTGGGCAGAGGTGCCGGGCAGAATCTGTGGAGTGAAGTCGCAGCAAAGACACAGAGCAGTTGCGATCTGGGGAAGAGGCAGAAATTCGGCAGATATGAGAAGGCTAGCTGTTAACGGCAGGGGCTTCCAGCCGGGGGATCTCCGTGTTAGGTGTGTGAAAGAATCTTGCCACTCCTGAAGTCCCAACCCCCCCAAAAAAATCTTGTTATATCAGCATGATGAAAATGCACTGCAAACGTTTATCAATTCCCCTGCAGAGATCTGAGCTCTGGCACAAAACTATGGTGCCCAAAGTGTATATATATTTTGCAGAAAACTCTTGAATGCTGGAATTTAGAACAAGTTGGATGCTTAGAAGTTAAAGATGTTAGCATTTGTTTCACGTAACAGCTGCAAGACTGAGTTTATACAACCTAGATCCAATGCTTCATGCAACTAACTAGAGAACCATTAGTCCTCTGCCCGAGAATGCAGAAAAACAACACATGAAAGGTGCAAATTTTCTCAGACACCCCTCCTTTTCCCTCATGAGCTCTATAAACAGGGTTTATATCCCTAGGCCAGTCCAGCTGAACTTTAACCGCGTCCTGGCTAGAAGTGAATAAGGGTAACTGCAGTCCAACGTCTTTAGGATTTAAGGCCAGGAAGAGACGCACTAGGGCAGAAACTCAGACATATAACACAGACTTTTGTTTTTCCAGTCATCAGGGAGATGCCTCTGGGAGGCTTATCTGGAGGGAAGTGCCCCACTCTAGTGATGGCCCTGACTGACAGACATTGCAAACATACGCATAGGTTCCAGGGAGCCCTGACAATTGATATAAGCTGTAGGCTTTTGCAGACATGGGGCAGGGGGATCTTTAGAGGATGAGAAAATCCTATGGGTGGTGGGACAGAACCTTCCTCCACCCCTCCACAAACAACACAACAACGTCAGGCCCTCTCGGTGATGGCCCCAGTGCTTTGGAACAGTCTCCCCCTGGAGATCCAGCCGGCCTCCAGACGTTTAAGAAACTACTCAAAACTGAATTTTAAAAACAAGTGTTCAAGGACCTCCTCCCAGTTAGGTAGCCATGTGACTCATCTCCCTCCCCCCAGGACTGTCGGCAGTATTTAGTTTCTTCTCCTTAGCTTATTTGCTGTTTCATTGTTTTGTTTGGGGGTTTTTTTTTGCTTACTTTTTCTATTATATGTTGATTTTTCCGGTTTGTGGGTTGCATGGGAGAGGAAAGGTTTATGGTGTGTGTTGTAAGACTGCCCAGAGTAGTGGATTTCCACTAAGTCGGGCTGTATCAAAATGCCAGGAAAAAAATTGAGGGTGGACCATGCTCAGAGGTTAAAGAACTGATCAAACTCTGTAAATGCTACTTGATAGCCTTTCTGTACAATAACAGCACAAGGGTGTGTGTGTGGATAGGCCAGACGGTCAGCGAACCCACAGAGTTCTTATACCAGATGCCAAGACAACAGGAGATTTTGGTATACAAGGCCTCTTAAGGAGGACAGAGGTGGGAGTCCTGTCCTTGATCATCTGGGGGCTTCTGTTTTCCGTCAGACTAAGAGAGGAGGAGAGGCTGCAAGGTAAATTCTGTTCTCATCCTTAGTGCCCATTGACGATGCACAAGTCGGCAGATGGTGGAATAACTTAGAATAACTGGTAGAATAAATTATAATAAGTTAACAATCCGGAGGGAGGGGGGGAAGGGCACAGGCTTACCCACGGTTTGCTTCCTTGCCTTCACTCCAGAGTCTTGAGGTGGTTCTGAAATAAGAAAACAAGGCCCGTGTGTGTGTGTGTGTGCGTGTGATGCGATGATGCAACACACACCACCAAGATGCCCCAAATTCTACTTCTTGTATGTAAACTGAATCGTTCAAACTGTGGCCTTGGGGGGGGACTGCAGCTGCTAAAGGGAAAAGCCAAAGGGCACTGACCCTTTAGGGACGTATAACAACATCTGGGGAACAGAGGTTTGAAGCTTGAGTACATACAGCCACGCGTCTCTGTGCATCGTCTCTAAATGTGACAGCAGAGCTTAGTCATACGAAAACAGAGCTTGGGAAAGCTACTTATTTTGAGCTGCAACAGAATCAAATCACATATTGATGGCTGAAGATACTGAAAATGCAGACAGCGAGAAACAAGAGAGTTACAGGTTCTTCAGCCCCTGTGAAAAAGTCAAATCTGCATTTTTTGAATTGTTTGTCCTCCTGTGTACAGGGTTAAGAAGTAGAATCCTAATAATCAAGGTACTCGCCATCACCACAAACACTCTGGACTGCTACCCACCTGGCTGAGAATGGCAATACAGTTTTAAGGCAAAGCCAGCCGGGAAGGTACCATCGGTGAATATTCGGATTTCTGCCGGAGCTGAACCGGGTACGCCGCACTCAGAGAGCCATTCCTTCCCTAGGAAACAGAACAACCGGAAGAAACTAAGTATGTGGCTGTTCAAATCTTATGGCTCCCTTGAACCATAAGAATTGGACAGAAACTCAAAGGTCATCTAGTCTGACTCTTGCTGGCCAATGCAAGAAATCTGCTCCTCCAGGATCCCTGACAAGTTAACACACAACCTCCTGTCTACCTGGGGCTAAAGTAACAGTCAGAACTTCAGCGTTACTCCACTTCTCACACAGCTCTACATCTGAAAGAGCCCTGCATAGTTCACAACTGTTAACAAATTCCTTCAAATACCATATATTTCATTCACTCAGGTCACAACTAGAAATGGGGACGAATCACAATTTTGGCGAGTTGTCCCGCTTCGTGAGTTATCAAAAGTTGACGACTCACGAAGCACAAAGTTGCCCCCATGAAACAATGAATAACAAATATATTTGTCGATTTGTGGGGGGGTTATTAAAAAAAACAACACTCACCCCCTTACCGTAATCGTCACTGTCACAGCTGAGGTCTCCGTTAGGCCTCTACAGCCACGGTGTGTAAAAAGGGAAACTGGCTGCCCTTTGCAAAGATGGCAGCTGCAGCTTCCCTCCCTAAATGAAGCTGCAGCCACCATCTTTGCAAAGGGCAGCCAGTTTCCTTTTTTACACACCATGGCTGCGGAGGCCTGATGGAGACCTTGGCAGCAGCAATGACTATTACAGTAAGAGGATGTCAGTGGGGGGGGGGCTGAGGTAGGGAGAGAAAGGGTGTGGGTGTCGGTGGCTGCCTGTTGTTGTTTAGTAGTTAAGTCACGTCTGACTCTTCATGGCCCCATGGACTAGAGCACGCCAGGCCCTCCTGTCTGCCACTGCCTCCCAGAATTGGGTCAAATTCATATTGGTAGTTTCAGTGACACTGTCCAACCTTCTCATCTTCTTTTGTTCCCTTTTCCTCTTGCCTTCACACTTTCCCAACATCAGGGTCTTTTGCAGGGAGTCTTCTCTTCTCATGAGATGACTAAAATCCTGGAGCCTCAGCTTCAGGATCTGTCCTTTCAGTGAGCACTCAGGGTTGATTTCCTTATCGTCCAGCTCTCACTTCCATACAGCACCATGGCTTTGACTATGCGGACCTTTGTCGGCAAGGTGATGTCTCTGCTTTTTAAGATGCTGTCTAGGTGTGTCATTGCTTTCCTCCCAAAAAGCAGGTGTCCTTTAATTTCGTGGCTGCTGTCCCCATCTGCAGTGATCATGGAGGCCAAGAAATTAAAATCTGTCACTGCCTCCATATCTTCCCCTTCTATTTGCCAGGAGGGGACGGGGTCACTGGCCATGTTCTTAGTTTTTTTTATGTTGAGCTTCAGACCATTTTTTTTGCGCTCTCCTCTTTCACCCTCATTAAGAGGTTCTTTAATTCCTCCTCACTTTCTGCCATCAGAGTGGTATCATCTGCATATCTGAAGTTGTTGATATTTCTTCCACCAATCTTAGTTCCGGGTTGGGATACCTCCAGTCCAGCCTTTCGCATGATGTATTCTGCATATAAGTTAAATAA